ACATTTTTATGTATTTATTTTCTGTCATGTAAATAAAAGTATTTCGTAAATCATATAAATTGTGTAAGAGTGAAAGGTAGCGTTGGTATTTTAGTATCCACCTCCAAATAGAGCTATCCAACATACGCACAGCAAGTGCCTTTGGCTGCCCTTCAGATTCAACAGTTGGTCACCTTTGATAGGCCACAGCTTTTCTCTGAGGCTCAGCTTTCTCTCCTGTAAAATGAAGAGAGAGGATGAAATTGCCATTAGCATTCCATTGGGTCCTCCATTCTGAGCAGTGAGGAAATTCTGACTGTTTTCATCCCCAGTGACAAGTTCTTACAGGACTCACAGGCACCCTTTTCCTCTTGGCTGTTGGACTCCTCCATCCATCGATCTTTAAGGTGGGGGGTAGGGGGTTCCTTGTAGTACATGAGCCTTTCCTTTTGTCTACAGCAGCTTTTGTTGAGAGAACAGGACATTGCATTGATCTCACCTGGTCTCAGCCCCTAGGCAGCCAGTTCAGAGACCTTACCATGCCACTGAGTTTCTCTGAGAAAAGTGCTTTGTAAACAGTGAAGTCTGAGATGCCCATTTCTATCTCAAATGAGAACGGGGGTTGGTTCCTTTATAGGAGAATATATCCTTCATTAGAGAGGCCTTTTAAAAAAAACATCTGTACTTCTGTCCGTGGTGGACAGTCAGCCCTCAGCCATCATGTCACCCTCGGCTGGTGCCAGGATTGCTGCCTGCTCACCTGGGCTCTTCTCCAGGGAGCCCGAGCCCCATCAACACTATCTGTGGTATTTATTTTTGCCTCTTTCAGTCACAGTAAAAATAGAGAAACAGGAAAAGGAAGCAAACTTCTTTCATCTACTCTCTTCTTTCTTCCTTTTTTAACTATATAAATTTAAGGAGTACAGCATCAAGATTTGATAAATGTATCCATGAAATGTATCCATGAAATAATTGCTATAGGTAAGCCATTTCACATAACTCTCAAATCCCATGTTCGCCTCCTATCATGACCATTTTTTTTTGGAGGGGGTTCACCAAGGACTGAACTTGGGGGCAGTAAATGCTGAGCCACATCCTCAGCCTTTTGGTTGTATTTTATTTTGAGACAGGATCTCACTGAGTTGCTTAGTGATCCACTGGGCATGCACCACCACACCCAGCTATTTTTACCTTTTTTTAAGTAATAGCACCTGAAATCTGTTCTCTCTGTAAATTTTTAATCTACAACACAATAAGATAGTCCTCTTGCTGTACATTGTATCCCTAGACTAATCCCACATAACTGCAGGTTTGTGCCTTAAACCTAGCCCTCATATCCCTCATAACCATCATGCTATTGTCTTTTTCTATGGGTTTGGCTTTCTTTTGAGATTTCACAGATAAATGAGATAAATCATGCACTATTTGTCTTTCTGAGGCCCTAAGCAACTTAGCAAGACCCTGTCTCAAAATAAAAAGGGGTGGAGATGTGGTTCAATGGTTAAGTGCCTCTGGAGTCAATCCCTGGGTCAAAAGAATAATAATAATAATAATAATAATAATAATAATAATAATAAGAAGAAGAAGAAGAAGAAGAAGAAGAAGAAGTCGTCATCCAGAGATAACTGGAGGAAAGGAAAATTTTGTACACTGTTGGTGAGAATGTAAACTAGTGCAATCATTATGAAAAGCAGTGTGGAGAGTCCTAAAAAAAAAAAAATTTTTCCCAACCAAAATTCAACTAAGTTTACACCATCCTAACATATTTCCCCAATAGATTTTCACAGTTCACATGGAATTTCCCTATTGATCTTTCTTTAAGCTAACAATGAAATGAAAATCTGTTGTCCTAGAGAGGCAGTACATTAAAGTATAATTCCCCAAAAACTTGGTTCTCATCCCTGAGTTCTTCTTCATGCCCAGCTTTCCCCTTTCAATTTTATCAAAATAAGATCCACAAGTTTTCTTTCTACGTAGCACCCAAACCATTCATCCCCTACCCCTGCCACGTCCCTCCAGGCTAGAGAACAAAAATCTAGAACCAAACTCCTTGAATCTGAATTTTATCCTTGCCCCTCTCCTGCCCCATGCCCTCCTCAGAGTTTCTGTGTTACCCTATGGGCTTCCCTGGGCAGATGGCCTCAGCTGTAGACAAGCCTTCAGTGGAAAGTAAGACCTTTAGGCACAGCCATTTGGCACTGGGACAGTCTCAACTCTCGCTGCTGATGGGCAAGTACAGTGCCCTCCCTCATGGTTAAGAGCTAGGGTGTCATCGGTGATTGTTACAGACCCAATGTTTATGTCCTCCAGAATTTATATGTTGAAGCCTTCACCTCCCATTTTGCTCTATTTGGAGATCGAACCTGTGAGGGAAGTGACAAAGTGAATGAAATCATAGGGTGGAGCTCCAATCCAATAGATCTGGTTCCCTTATGAGAAGAGGAAGGGACACCAGAGCCAGCTCTGGGCACACACACCTCCCTCCCCAGGAAAGGCCATGCAAGGACATAACTAGAAGGTGAGTATCTACAAGCCAGGAAGAGAGCTGACCTCAGAAACTGAATCAACCAGGACTTTAATCTTCGACTTCCACCTCCAGAATTGTGAGAAATAAATTGCTATTGTTTAAGCCACCCATGGGGTTTGGTTATGATAGACTGAGCAGACTGATACAGTGGCCATTGAAGCAGGGTTTTTAATGTCTCTGAGCAAAGCCTCATTTCCTGAACTGTGGAATATTTTTATCCGCATTTATTTTATAAGTTCTGCATTTTCCCTCTGCCCCCACTACTGTCCTTCTCAGATGCATTTATTTAGAAAAAAAAATTGGCACAGATTTAGCACGGGGAAGCGTTAGATTTCCAATAAAACTTGTAAGTAGGAAGCCCAGCCTACAGTCATCTCTCTTGTATTGATTTATTTTTGCAGATAATTTCCAATTATTGGCGGGGAGAAGGGTGGGGGGAAAGCTAAAAGTGAATGAAGAAAGAAAAATCTTGAATCATCCTCAACATTCTCCAAGGGTTGTTCTCCGGAGAATCATCTGCCATCACACCCTGCCACCTGCCACCTGCCACCTCTGCTTCCTGAACATCTTCTACCATAGCCATGGCTGCAATTCTGACCATCCTTCCCCTCCTTCTCTCTCTCTCTCCCCATCCTCTTCCTCTGTCCTCTTGTTACTGCTCTCTGCAGCACCCTGACAGGTCTCCATTCCTCCTAATCCACTTCCACTGCAGCCATTGCAGTCCTCAGATGTTCCACTGTTGGTCTCATTTCTATGCTTTAAACCCTGCCCTGACTCCCCAGGGCTCTTCCAAGAAACCCAAAGCCCCTTAGGGTCTCCCCACTCTCAGACTTACCTTCTCTGTTCCAGCAGGGCTGAGTTTCTTTCAGTCCCTCAGAAGCCCCTGCTCACTTTCTCTAGGTCCTTTGCTTGGGGCATTGTGTTGCCTCTCACCCTGGAGCTTATTTACTTCTCCTTATCCCTCATCTCAGCTCTGAGGTGACTGTTCTGGAAATCTCCCCTGATCCCCATTCTGGGATGAGCCTCAGGTCACCTGCTGTTGCAAGCCATTCTGTCATCACCCGCATTTCCTGATTCCCCGGTTTTCTCACCCCAGTAAGCAACCGAGGGCAGGGACTCTGTCCACCTTCTGTCTCTAGTATCCAATTGGTGACAGTGTGTGGCACTGAATGGGCTTTAAATTAGATATTAAACAACTGTGCCAGGCTGAGGTTGTGGCTCAGTGGTAGAGCACTTGCCTAGCATGTGTGAGACTCTGGGTTCAATTCTCAGCACCATATAAGAATAAATGAATAAAATAAAGGTTCATCAACTCAAAAAAAAATGTTTAAAAAAAAAAAAAGCAACTGTGCTAATTACCGCAGTTCAAAGAAATGCTTGCAGACTAATTTGATTATACCATCAGTCCCTTTTAAATGATTCTGCTTGGGCCTACATTTACTTTTAACTTTTCCTTTCATTTGCTTCAGCCCATACATAACCAGGCATGTGATAATTATCTCAAATAAGCTCAAATTTACTACCCACTATTGGTGAGCAATGAAGGGCCTCTCTGAGTCCCTGGGCACAGTCCTGGGTCTGAAAAGGGTTTTCCTTGCCAAGTGGCCCTCCTGAGAACTACACATGCCCAGGGGGAAGCAGTGGCTTTGTGGACTTGCTGAGAGATGGGAGATACCCTTTCCTGCTAGCCTGGATTCCAGCATCAAAGGGAACTGGAATGGTGGGAAAGAAGAAAGGGGAAGAGGCAGAGAACAAAGGGAACCACCTGTTAGATCTCACCTCACCTCCTAAGGAGGAGGTAGTAATTATGGGCTGTTGATACTCATTTTATGAAATCCATTTTATCTTTTCTTCCTTTGGTTCTTCGGTGTGTGCATGGAGCACTTAGGCATTTTCCATTGAGTTCCTGTGAATAAAAACACCGGTCCCTGAGGTAGACAGGAGAGGAAGAATGGGTTTGCCCCGTATGTGAATTCGCACTGGAAGGATCTTGTCTGTGCTTTCCGTCATCCTCTGCAGAGTTTCCCTTTTACAGCAGCCCTGGGAGTATCACATGTTTGCCCACTGCACCCTAGTTAGGACACTGGCGTGGTAATATAAAGTTACCTTTTGCCCTTGCTGTCTATCGTGCCCTCAGGTCTGTCATTGGGCCCTGCTGTGCTCCCAAAAGAAAGCCCAAGGAGACATGGCAGGGCTTTCCAGGCCTTAGGCTTGTCTCTGGAAAGTAGAAAGGTTCTATGTTTACCTGCCGAGGACATTGTACTGGTGCCCAGTTAGCAGCTTTGTTCACTTGTGCACAACTTTTGTCTTTCCTAGAAAATAATATTGAGTAAATCATACAATTCATAAATTTTGGAAGCCTTGTTTGAGGTGAATCCAACAAATGTTTCAGAAATACACATTCATAAAACCATGAGTAAAATATGAAGGAATATCACAACAGTATTCTCTGTTGCTGTTAAAATAATTTTTTTTTTTTATGTATCTGTTTTAGATCTGGAGTTCAGACTCTGCCCCATAATGCCAAGGTTCATTACAACTACGCCAACTTCCTGAAGGACCAAGGTCGGAACAGGGAAGCCATCTACCACTACAGAACAGCCCTCAAGTAAGCGCCTTGCAGGGAGGGCACTGGCTATTGTGCTGTGAAGATCCTGGTTTATTTCACTCATGCCCTCCCAGACATGAGTGGTCATGGGTTTCTATTGAGGGTGATCGTATCTCTGGAGGGAGGGTATTTCTTGGAGTAGGAGTCTTTCGGCTCACCATTCAGTGCTGTTGTAAGTGTGGTAACTCTGCCTTGTTTCTCACTCAATGTTTGTTTGTTTGTTTGTTTGTTTTTTAAGTTTTTATTGCTGCCCCTTATTCAGTGAAGTAACACTCCATTGAATACATTTGTGCAAATGGCAGTTGGTTATTAAAAATGTATACTGGTCATTTTTATAGGATATGTATGCCAGTGAATTTTCAATTGCATGTATATAGGAAGATACTTGAGTATAGAAATGAAACACTCTGGTGAATATATTAAATCAAAAACAGTGAGAAAATACTTGATCACCATGTTGGGAATATGTTAATTGTGTGTGTATGTGTGTGTATTCTCTAACACTGTTCTTGTGTTTTCCATTGGAAGAAAGAATACCTTTGATATGACTTTAAGGGAAAAGTAAAACTTTCAAAGTTTTTTTTTTGTAACTAGCAGTAGTCTGTGGGTATTCAGTGGAACTGAAACTCTGACTTTATGGATGATTTTCTCTAAAAGTTCCCAGATAATAAATGTATTTAACTTTCAACATGTGGAGACATGATGTTATAGTTTGGATCTGGAATGTCTCCCAAAGGCTTCTATGCTATAGGCTTATAGAAGCAGCCTGTGGTGCTCTGGAATACATGCCCTTAAAGGAAGCAGTGACACCCAGCCCCTTCCTCTTTCACTTCTTCACCAGCGATAAGTTAATAGTTTACTCCATTTTCTTTCCGATCATGATGCTTTGCCTCCCCACAGGCCCATAGCAATGGGGCCTATCAATGATGGACCAAAACCTCCAAAATTGTGTGCCAAAATAACCCTTTTGTCTTTATAAGGTGATAATTCAGGTATTTTGTCACTGACTAATACACATGATAATTAAGCATAGCCTTGGAATCTTCAATTGTTAGTTTAAAGAAGCAAGGCGAATCTAATCCTCTTATTGAATACTACTGATGGTCACAGAAACTTCTAGAAGAGAGAGATTGATTCACATTTGGTTAAATTTTCCGAGACTGTCCCACTTTGGAACATGATTAAAATTCATATGCCAAACAAATCATACTAAAGTGCCTACCTGAATTGTCTCAGGGCTTAGTTTGAAATCATTATTATATTCTACACAAGCATTTGATTATCAAGCAAAAAAAAAAACTTTTGGGCTTTAGGACCTGCTTACTTAATATTCAATATAGCAAAAGTTTTAAATCATATATATCAAGATTGTGATCGAATACTTTTTCAAATATTACAACAAATGTGAGACCCAGAGCAAAAATCGTAACCAAGCTTTTTTATTGAAGAATACAACTTATTCATTATGGAATAGAAGGTAATCTATAAGATTTAATAAAGAATTGCATTTGTTCACTGGAAAACAGTTTTCAAAATGTTTGCAATTCTTATCTCTGTTGGTTAGATTATGGTTTATATTTTTGCCTTTATATTTTCTTGTGTGTTTAGATGTTCCACAGTGAGCATGTATTGCATGGATTGTGACCTTCATAATTAATTAATGTGTAATGATTTTCGGTTGTATTCTTGAAGGGAGGAAAAGAACAACAAGTTGTCTAAAAAGAATCAGTCTCATAAATTTGTTTCATTATAACAGACGATTTCCTATCAAATTCAAATAGAAAAATAAGGTAGGCCCTGAGGCACGGTGTGGGCAAAGGTGTATATTAAACAAAATTCTCTGGCAGTTGATTTTATAGAATTATAGTAGCTGGGTGGGTACTTCTGCTTCTTTCCTGTAAAACAATAAAAATAAATGTTTGTTCCAGCAATGTGCTTCTGGAAGAAATATGTCCCTTGAGAAATAAGGAAAAACAATTAAAGCTATAAATGTACTGTCTAGTAATTAGTGAATTATTTAATGTTCTCAGACCAGATCCAAAATACTTATGATTAAAAATATCATTGTTTTTATGTGAATACCACTGGGATAAATATTCAGCAGAGGTGGATAGTTTTTCTTTTCTTTTTAAATAAATTTCCACTCTTCATGTTAGAGAGTAAAGGAAAAGTACCAGGACTGTCCATCATTTTGATGATTATTTATCCTTAGAGATTGGAAGATTGCCCTTATTTTCGTAATGCTGTTTCTTTGTGGACATTGCTGAGTCAGGAATTCTTCTCCCTCCCAACTGCTCCACCCCTACACTACATTTTTGTGTATCCAATGTTTTGTGTATTTCCACACAGTAAGAAAGAGAGTGATTAGGGAAGTTCTAGGTTAAAGGTGAAATGACCTGAAATCAGTTCCAGCAATTATCCATGACTGTTGAAATGACTATGCAGAGCCCAAAGGCAATGGTGAAATGAGCCATCAGGGTTGTATCTATAGAGATCTCTTTCTGGCTGACTTACAGTTCTAAAAATAACACTATATTAAGTTGGTAATTATATACAACATAACTATTCTGGTTCTTTTAAACTGTATGTTTAAATAATGGAGTACTACTACTGACTTCTCAGTATATTTCATTTATTTTTTTTCAGTTGTGCTAGAATAAATCTCCTCTGGAAAATGCTGCAGCCAAGATTATGTATTCAGGTTAAGATCCAAATCATGAAAAAAGAGAATGAGGGGTCAGAACCCTTTCTTGAAATCCTCAACAAACATTAGTGTTAGCTTTGCTTTGCTATGAGGAGTAGCTCTCTGTGTAGACCTATTATAGTACTATAAAGCTTTGGATTCTCTGTATAGGAGAATTAGACCACTACTAATGTATTTGTCATCTGCCTCCAAAGCTTTCTGACCACTCAGTTACTGTGGGGGAAGTTCCTGCCATTTCACCCCATGTGATGGGAATTAAAAGTCCAGAGACTGCCCAACAATTCAGCTCTTTATGCACAAGATCTCCCAAGAAATGTCTCATCCAATAAACCCTAAAGGAGAAACATTAATCTGGCTTAAGTAAAACGCAGAAGTTATTGAATGTGTACTTAACCATGTATGTACATTATTGAATAGCTCAAAAATTCAGTTAAAAGTGGAGAATCTTGAAGCAAATTATGCACAATATTGAACATTTTATTTTACCCTGAAATTTCCAATGTATCTTCATTTACCAATCTTCTGTTGTCAAACCAAGTCCTTTTCTTGGAGTAAGAGACTACTGATTAAAATCTGCAAAAATCATGTCCATAGTTCATGGCTATAATTACCGGTTTTGTCAGTTTAAAGAGTAATAAAAAATTAAGGATACTTGCTGGGTATGGTAGCCTGTACCTATAATTCCAGCTACTCAAGTGGCTGAGGCAGAGGTTCACAAGTTTAAGGCCAGCCTGAGCAATTTAGCAAGACATCCCAAAGTATAAAATAAAAACCACTGAGGAGGTAGATCAGTGTTAGAGCACTTGCCGAGCATAGGTAAGGCCCTGGGTTTAATCTCTAGTGCTGCAAGTTAAACATACTTAATTTGCAAAGTTAATTTGAGTAGACTATCTCAAAATTTTTAGAGTTTTGTTCTCCAGTCCTTTACAGTTCTCACATCGAAGATAACAGTATTTTGAACAACTTTTTTTTTTTTTAGTATATTTTTACTTATTTTATGTGGAAATACCTCTTTTTTCCCACATATTTTGTCTGCTTGCAAAATATTTCATTGCAGTGAACACTACTACTGACTTTTTAGCAGTCATTAACTCCATATATGGGAGCTGAAGGCCCAGACTCTCAGAGAAAGTTTGCTAAGTTGTAAGTATCCACTTATATATTTTTGGGAATAGAGAACATCTGGAAATCTGGTGACACAATTAACACACTGTACTCAGAGTTTTTACTATAGGTGACAGAGTCATGTAATCTGTTTTTCATCAACCATTTCATTTCCCTGCATGATTCAATTACTGGTTGGTTAAAATAGGTTATCAAGAACCCAGGGGTGGAGAATAAAGTTTGCTTTGTCCAACACATCAGAAAGTCTTGTCCACGGTCCGTAGGAGACTGTCACATGTTCCACAGAACATTTGCTCACTCAAATGCCCTCTTCCCTCTACCCCAGTTCAGTAAGCCCCTGCCACACCCAGGTTTGCTGAAATATTCCAGGTGGGTGAGCATCAGATGTGTAGTATTGTAGTCTCATAAAAGGGCTGTGATTCTCAGTCACCCAGGTAGCAGTGAAATTCTTTTCACAAGGATGTTTTCAATGTGAAATATACAATTAAGATTTCCCTGGCACCACCATCCCAGAAATGCTGTTGAGGATACATTACCTATCCTAACAGTGGCTTGGGTGTGCTGGGGCAACCATGGGACCATTAGAGTGTGGCCTTGTCCATACCTAAGCAGTTATCATATCTATAACTGATGTTTTAAACAAAAAATCCAAAAGCCAAGAAAGAACTGTTTCCAAAGGTATCTTCCATTGGCATAGCTAAAATTTTTAAATTATTGTTCCCTTTCTTATTTTTATTTTTGATATTTCATTGGCACATTACAATTATATGTAATGGTGAGATTTGTTGTTACATATTCATTCATGTGGCGGCAGAACTAAATTTTCTTTTGTGCTCTTAATGCTTCTGTACAAAAGAAATCTCCACTCACTATTTGATTGGCTGACACATGGGAAAGGATAAAACTAAAATCTTTCTGACTAGAATGTGTTTAAGTGTATAAAATAGAGACTTGTCATGCTAATAGTGCTTATTGATCTAGTTCTTTTGTATTCCTTCCTGGATGGATAAATGGAATTCTACAAGGAGATTCCATTAGACTTAAGATAAGTGTGTGTGGCAACTGGAAATAATAAAGGAATGAGTATTGAAAAATGCCATTATCATTAGGGTCTAAAGAGATCTACCATGTCTAATTAACCACTGTTCCCTGATGTGTTAGGTATACTGCT